TTCTTCTGTGTAGAAAGCCTTCACTTCATCCTTCCAGGCCTAGATTAAATGTTACCCAATATTTTGCTGTTCACCAAATCTTTTAGGTTTTCTCTCCTTCCAAACACACAGTAGATGTCGCAGATTACATAATTGATTCCCTTTCTCCACTCATCCCTGGATCCGTGCCTTCCATGGAAGTTTTCAATGCTCTCCTGCTCTGATCGGAGTATAATTCTCTGCCCCTGGGCTCAGCCATGTAATTTGCTTTGGCCAATAGGAGGAAGAGAAAGTGATGGCTTGTTAGTGCCAGGCTAGGGGCATTGCAGGTCTGCTTGCTCACTTGCACCACTGCCTTGGCTAGTCTGCGAGAGGATGAGAGACACTTGGAACAGAGTTGGGTTGCTCCCATTGCTTCGGTGAGGCCAGCCTATAAACTGACGGCCACCTCCCCCCTAGACATGGAGCCCAGCCAAGATCAGCGGAGCCACCTGGCTGATTCCAGATGTGTGAGCTATAAATGCTTATCAGTGAATGCCACAGAGGTTTGGTGGTTGCTTTTTCACAGCATTATTGCAGCTCTAGATAACTAATTTAGTAGAATTGCACTTCCTGGACCCGTGTGTTTGGATCGGGCCATAGTTCTGGTAGTGAGTTGGGAGTAAAAGTAATAGTGATATTTTTGGACTGGAGCATTTAATTGCTGGTGTGAGACCCTCTAGAACTCTCTTTTCCCCCAACACAGTAACCAAAAACTTTTGAGATGGTACTTATTCCATCAGCCTGAGTCCCTTAGAGACTAAGATGAGCTGAACACTCAGCCATGAGGAGTTGTTTTAAGCCATTGAGATTTTGGAGTTGTTAGTCATTGTGGCATAACTTAGTCTAACCTGACTGAATGAGGTAGGAAATGATATTTTAAGAAGTTTGCTAAAGGTTATTAATTACTTTCTGGTAATTACGACTTTTTGGTGCTTTTGAGAGACTGCAGTAAATATTTAAATTGTATTTTCAGTTGTTTTTGGTTATCTTGCTAGTTTAATTTGCTTGCTAACCCTTTGGCCTGGTTTTTTTGGGTTAGATCTGGCTGCCAAGGAATTGGGAAAGAGAACAGCTGCCCTTCTTTTTTTTTTTTTTTTTTTTTTTTTTTTTTTTGTGAAGAGATCAGCCCTGTGCTAACATCCGCCAATCCTCCTCTTTTTTTGCTGAGGAAGACGGCCCTGGGCTAACGTCTGTGCCCATCTTCCTCCACTTTATATGGGACGCCGCCACAGCATGGCTTGCCAAGCAGTGCGTCGGTGCGCGCCCGGGATCCGAACCAGCGAACCCTGGGCCGCCGCAGCGGAGCGCGTGCACTTAACCGCTTGCGCCACCGGGCCGGCCCCTGCCCTTCTTTACCTTCCAAATATCTTGGGATTTTTTCCCAAACAGAAAGGGTGTTCAGATATTGGACAATCCAGATGTCCACTAAATTCTCTCCAGCAAAGTAGACAGAGTAGAAGGGCTCCTTCTCTCTGCAGTTTACATATTATCACAGCAAAAAGGAAGGCATCCTTCAACGGTGAAAGTGGGACAAGGGAGAGGGCAAGAAGGAAGGACTTTGCAAAGCCAAGACCAAAACTACCTTGGACACACCACTTTCCATTCTTCTGAGAATGTATTTGAAATACATACCAAGAAAACAAAGGAGGAAATCTTTGTGACCTTGAGTTAGGTAAAGATTTATTAGATATGACTTCAAAAGCACAATCCATAAAAGAAAACGTTGATAGGTTGATCTTCATCAACACTAATATCATCTACTCATTGAAAGACACTGTTAAGAGAATGAAAAAACAAGCCATAGACTGGGAGAAAAAGGATCAGTATCGAGAATATATAAAGAACTCTCAAAACTCAATAATAAGAAAACAAACAGCCCAATTAAAAATTGGGCAAAAGATTTGAGCAGATACTTCACAAAGGATATAAGAAGAAGGCAAATAATGACATGAAAAGATGCTGAATGTCATTTGTCATTCCAGAAATGGAAATTAAAATTACCATGAGGTACCACTATACAGCTAGAATGGCTATAATTACAAAGACTCATCATAGACATGGAGCAACTGGAATTCTACTACACTGTTGGTGCGGATGTAAAATGGCACAACTACTTTGGAAATGCTTGATGCTTTCTTAAAAAGTTCAACCTACACCTACCATATGGCCCAGTCATTCCACTTCTAGGAATTTATCCAACAGAAATGAAAGCATATGTTCATACAAAGACTTGTACAGGAATGTTCATAACAGCTTTCTTTGTAGTAGCCAAAAACCGGAAACAATCCAAATGTTCATCAACAGGTGAATGGATAAACAAATTGCAGTGTATCAATACCATGGAATACCACTCATCGATAAAAACATGCAAACAACTGGTACACCTAACAACACAGTTGACTCTCAGAATAATTATGCTGCAGCTATGACATACAACCATCTACTGGGGCTTTGGGGGAAATAAATAAATAAAATTTAAAAAAAAAGAATAATTATGCTGAATGAAACAAGCCAGACTAAATTTAAAAAGCAGTTCTTAGTTTAGGACCCATTTATATAAATTTCTAGAAAATATTAACTAATCTAAAAGACAGAAAGCAGATCAGTGGTTGCTTATAGGTAAGGTGGGGTGGGGATAAAATTGGATTGCAAAGAGACAGGAGGAAACTTTTGGGGGTGATGGATATGTTCATTATCTGGATTATGGTAATGGTTTCATAGGGGTATAGTTATGTCAAAACATTAAATTATGCACTTTAAATATGTGAAGTATATTGAATGTCACTTATACCTCAATAAAACTGAAAAAAATATGCATAGGATGCAGCAGTTATTGACTGAGTAATGATTCAGGAAGGAACTATCAAATGGTCTACCAACTTGGGCTATAAATTGGGAGATTATAATGAGTAGAAGGTTGGCAGCCATGGGTGCATGTCTCTTCGGTTGCCTGCCTAACTTTCAGATTTGGCCCAACTAAATCCAAAGATATGTGCAAAGTAGAAGACCAGAAGATCTGTAACATGGAAACCTCTTCATCACCTATCTAAAATTGAATAGGATGGTCACATGATCTGTAATAGCCTATACAATCGGAACTGCAGGCAGGTTAAACCAGAGTAGTTAAGGAAGTCATTCAGCACATTTGTCTCTGCTACAGATAAAAACATTATTTGATGACCTGTATGGGATAGAAATGTGAGAAATAATCTGTGTTTCAAGTTAGGTGCCCCTAAACTTAACGCCCTAAGTTTCCTGAATAGTAATGCAAACATTCAGTTTATTACCTTCTCAAATCCAATAAATAAAAATGAGGGATGCAGTTGTCTCCTCTGCAATAGGTTATTAAAAGTTGTCTGGTCTCTTAGAGCCAACCCTTGGTAACAATATTAAAAGTTTTTAAACCTGCATTGGCCTATTTTTTTGAGAGTTTTGCTTTTCTGATGAAGTTTTAACTTTTTAAATATCATGGCTATATAAATTTTTTTAATGCATTTTTCTGTTGTAAAAAAACATAGGGGGCCGGCCCCATGGCTTAGCGGTTAAGTGCGTGCGCTCCGATGCAGGCGGCCCGGGTTCAGATCCCGGGCGCGCACAGACACACTGCTTCTCCGGCCATGCTGAGGCCGCGTCCCACATACAGCAACTAGAAGAATGTGCAACTATGACATACAACTATCTACTGGGGCTTTGGGGGAAAAATAAATAAAAAAAAAAATTTAAAAAAAAAAAAAAAAACATAGGGACCAGGAGTGAAAAGACTAAAGATCTAATCCTGGCTCTCCTACTAACTCAATTTCTTTGTCTGCAAAATGGGGATAATAGAAATCCTTACCTGTAGTGGGTTGAATGGTGGGCCCCCAAAATATATATCCATGTCCTAATCCCCGGAACCTGTGAATGTTACCTTATTTGGAAAAAGAGTCTTTGCAAGTGTACTTAAGGATCTCGAGGTGACTTCATCCTGGATTATCCAGGTGGGCCCTAAATTCAATGACAGGTGTTGTCAGAAGGGAAAACCAGAGGAGATTTGAGACAGAAGAGGAGAAGAGAAGGTGATGTGAAGATGGAGGCAAAGAAAAGAGTGATGTGGTCACAAGACAAGGAAGTCAGCAACCATCAGAAGCTGGAAGAGGCAAGGAATGAAATCTTCCCTAGAGCCTCTGGAGGGAGCAGCGCTTCCAACACCTTGATTTCAGACTCTGGCCTTTAGAACTGTGAGAGAATAAATTTCTGTTGACTTACACCACCAAGTTTGTGGTAATTTATTACCGCAGCCTCGGGAAACTAATACACTACCTCATAGAGCACTAAAAATGGGAATAATAGGACTACCAACGTTGTAGGTTTGCTATGAGCATTAAATGAGTTGATATTTGTAAAGCACTTAGAAGGGTGCTTGATACCTACTAAACACTATTGAAGTACTTACTAAGTGAATTTTTACAAAAGAGAACTCTCTAGGTCAATGCAATTGGTTGTTGATGATATTTCTTTTCTGGACGTTGATAGGTGGACTGGACACCGTAATACTGGAGCCTCTAGTTAGATTACGGAATTGAAAAATAACCATGACGATGGTGAGAAAGTCAAGAAGAGTGGACTAGTTAATCTGTAAGGTTTCTTGAGCCGGAATTTTCTGTAAAAGCAGTCTTTCAATCCTCAGTGCATTAGGGTCCTTGCTTCTCTATTGGCTGTCTCTACAATTCCTTAATCCCTAAGCTTAATTTAGAACGGAATGCAGGGACCACAAGGGAAAATCACTTTTATTGCCTCCGTTGGGAGCCTAAAACCCCGCGAGGCCCCCAGAGTGCAGAATTCCCAAAGAGATTTCTCACGCCCACGTTCCACCTGCAGAAAACTACGATTCCCAGAAGGCTTTGGGTCCCTCGGGACGGACCTCGACAAGGGTCGGAGTCTAAGAGGAGGTCGTTGGCCGATTCCATTGTCCAGGGCAGGAGGGGCCGCCTGGGCGGAGTTTGGGAGGAAGCCGCCCTCCGATTGGATGTAAATAGGAAGGCGGCGTCCTGCGCGCGGTTGGTACGGTCTGCGGGGACCTGGGCCCCCGCGGCCGAAGCTTGAGTTTCCCGGGCCGCGAGCGCGGGGCCCGCCGGGAAGGCACCGGGACGGTTGTCCGCTAGGCCCGCAGAGGCCGCGGCCGCGCTTCAACATGCAGAGCACGGAGCTGGGCAACAAGGAGAGCGGCAAGATATGGCACCGCAAGCCGTGCCCGGCCACTCGGGACGGGTAAAGGCCGCGGCGGGAGGGCGCGGGCTGTGGAGGGGCATGGAGGCCGGCGAGGGCGGGTCCGCGTCGGTGGAGAGGCGTCTGAGGGGCAGCTGGGGAGGGTCTCGGGCACGGCTGCAGGGGGGCAGGGTGGAGGTTCGGGTTCTGGCGCTGACCCTGTCCCGGATCCCCTGGTTGGGTGACCTCAGGACACGCAGGTAACCCGAGTCTCGGTGTGCTGTGGACGCCACGATCCGCAGAGACCCCCTCCCCAGACCTGGGGGCAGGGGTCTGGTCGGGATCAGGAGGGGCAGGTGGTCCTCCGATACGCGTGAGAGAACTTGCGCTTCCCGTGAGGGCCAGGACTTTGTCAGCCCTAATTATCGTAGTGCCCCTGTAGTATTCCTGGCACGTAGTAGATGCTCAGCAAATACTCGTTAGCTGTTGCAGCTGGAAGGGGACTCAAGAGGAGGGAGGGATGCGGGAGAAGAAATGCTGCGGTTTATCCATCCTTAAATCGTTGTGTGTGTTCAGACGAGCATGCATCCATCAACTATGTGTTGAGCGCCTGCTCTGTGCCAAGCTTCTAAGCGCTGGGGGACAGCAGTGGAACAAAATAAACTTCTAGTTCTCTGGAGTTTATATATGTGCGTGTTTGTGCGTGCTGGGGGCAGGAGGGTACATTCTACAAAGCAGAGGGGCCTTCTAGTATAGCCAGCGCTACTGCTGCTGCTTTGTTTTGTTTTTCTTTAAATAGACTTTATTTTTTAGGACGGTTTTAAGTTCACAGCAAAATTGAGCTGAAGGTATAGAGATTTCCCATATACCCCCGCCCCTGCACATGCATAGCCTCCCCCATTACCAACATCTCCCACCAGAGTGGCACATTTGTGGCAGTTGCCCCAAAGTGGTGTCAGTGTCACTTCCAGTTGCAGCACACAGAGTGATCTTATTGCTTCTAATTTCCTAGGAGTTTGTGACTTTGCTGCATTGCTGAATTCCTGTTTCAGTGTTCTGGTGATTTTTCTATTGATCCTTTGGTTGCTCCTCAACAAATCAACAGACGTTGCCAACTGCTTATGCTCAAAGCACAGTGCTAGACCTTGTGCTAACAGCTTGTTTGGTTTCTGGTTGCTGTCAGTCCCCAAACAATGCTGGTGTCCCATCAACTCCACTGAACAAAAATTTTTGTCTAGAGTAGGGCTTCTTGAATAGAGATTTTCATTTCCAAATTAGAGGTTTATGTACATACCACCTCTAGTTCTAATGTTCTCAAAACATTCTAAAAGTCATTGCCAACCCACAGTAATTCTTTTTCTTGCTGTTATAAAATATATAGACGGGGCCAGCCCCATGGCCTAGTGGCCTGGTGGTTAAGTTTGGTGTGCTCTGCTTCAGCTGCCCAGGTTTGGTTCCCCGGCACCAACCTACACCACTCATCAGCGGCAATGCTGTGGCGGCGACCCACGTACAAAATAGAGGAAGATTGGCACAGATGTTAGCTCACAGCAGATCTTCCTCAAGCCAGAAGCGGAAGATGGGCAACAGATGTCAGCTTGGGGCGAATCTTCCTCACCAAAAGAAAGAGATAGATAGACAGAGAGAGAGACAGACATGCAAGATTCAAAAAAATGAAAGAAACAAGTTCATTATGCAAATGTCCTTATTTGCTTCTTCCACTAAAACATGGCTTTCTTTTTGTTCATTGAAACCCATTGGTGTGGAGTTGAGAGAGGCAGGGAGCACTGACTGTGAAGTCAGAGGGACTTTAGTTGAAGTAAATGTCCGTTTACTAGCTCTGTGACCTTAGGCAAGTCAATCTCTAAGACTGAGTGAAGATGACCATACCTACCAGCTAGGGTTGTCTTAGGGCTTTGTGAAGACTAAAATAGTGTCTCATGCATCTGGGTGTTCCATAAGTATTTGATGTCTTTATTATGTTTAAGGACTGAAGAACTCAGGCAACCTGTGAGCAATGGAAAGATGTTGCTCTAAAATAAATACTTATGTGCATGGTTTATATGAAAAATCAGAAGGGCAGAATGTTGCTGTTAATTGTAATTATATCTAGATGGTAGGATTATCATCAATTTTATTTTTTAGTGTTTTCTGTATTTTCCATATTTTGAACGATGATCATGTAATTTTGTAATTCAAACACATAATAAATGTTACAGAAAAAAGACTGGAGGGAATAGTCGTTTGCTCTGAGTTTAGTTACCAGGGAACATTCTGATGTTATTACTTGTCATTTCAATACATTTATTTTACCCCCACTTGGGGATATCAAAGAAAAACCAGAGCTGGACAGTAGTTAAAGTGGTAAAAACCGATTTTATTCAGAACTATTGCAGTTGGGGAAAAGAGACCCAGTATAGAACCAGGCTCAGTCCCAAACACAGCATGGGCAAGTGGGAGTTTATACCCAAGGAGCAGAGTGAAGGTCAGTGTGTGGAAACGTACTAAGGGGAAATTTCTGGGGTCAGGGAGTTCTGGCTAAACTGACCTAACCTAACAGGATTCTTGCTGAAGCCAGACCAAGATGAGCAGGGAGTGGTGGAGGATGAGGAACCTGATCAGATGTCTAGGGTGATCAAGAATCAGGGGCCAGCGTTCTGGTTAAACTGACTGAGAAGGGTGCTTGCTAAAACTGGATTTTACAAGGAAGTGCACAGATGGACCCTAGGAGAAGCTTCAAGAGCCTGACTCAAGTTTGGTCAAGCAAAGAATCTTTGTCAGGGACTAGATAAAAATAGCATTGTACGAATTTGGCTGTTTCCCCAAAATGAGTGCTTAGATAAACTGAAGAAAATGTTTAATACACTTAATTCAATTTAACATGCCTTAATGAAGTGATAACAAGGAAGATATATTAAAATTCTAATATTAAAATTCAAAAATTCACAAAAAGTCAATTAAGATAATTTTTATGATTTAAAAACTATCGTTACAATATAGAATGGGATTATTCTGATCTTTATGACCCAAATGTATATATTTATGATTTTAAGAAGTTATTTTGTGCTGCAAGTTTTATAAGCAGTTTTCTTTTAAGTACCTATATGGTACATGATCTTCCTCTCAAAAAATAGTAACTCTAGACAAATATAGCTGTGTGTTCTTAATAAAGTTTGTATTTTCTGTTATAAACACAATAAATGGAATGTGATCATTAAAGAATATCAAATACGGAAAAGTAGAAGGAAGGGCGAAAAAATTACCCATATACCTATTACAGACAACTGCTATTAATATTTTAGTGTGTTCATTTTTTCCCCTATGTGTAGGTTTTTCTTTCTCTTCTTTTTTTGGTAAACTTTCTTAATCTTTTGAATAGAAGCGCGATTAATAAGGATTTTAAAAGAATGACGTCTTAAAGCACTCATCCATTCAGCAGGGATGTTGTGAGTGCTTGTATGTTGTGTGCCAAGTGCAGGGCAAGGTGTGGGATCCAGTGACGCACAAACACCGTCCCTGCTCTCACCAAGCTCACCTTCCAGGGTATTATGGTAAATGTATTAGGAATGAAAATAAAACTCGTGTACGCTTAATTCACTTTGGAACACTCTATATGACAAAAATTAAATCTCATTAGGATATCTTAAAGTTGGGATATTGAATTGAAATTTTTGTTACATATGGTAGCTTGTGATTTATATATACTGCACTACTTTTCACTAATCATCATTATTTTTAGCAGGTGTCTGTTGCTTAATCTAACAATTTAACTGCTCAGTCTAGAATACATTTTCTTATCATAGCCTGTTGTTGTCTATCACTTAATCACAATTTATAAATCTGTTCGTATATGTGTGTTATTTTTTAGTGTCTGTCTTGACCACTAAACTGAAAGCTTCATGAGGGCAGGGCCCAGGTCTATCAATTACTCTCCGCTCCCAGCTTATTCAGTGTCTGACTCATAGCGAGTTTTCAGATATTTAATGAATAAATGAACAGTAGCTACTTTGATAGTGAATGACTTTCTGAACTGTTTTCAGAAATTGTAGGATTGCTTCTAGGACAGAGGGGGAGGAGCAGCAGCAGTAGGGGCAGGAGGAATGGATAGGCCAAAAAACTTCAAAATTAGTGGAGTACACTGCAGAAGCCATGTTTTTCATAATAGCAAGTAACACTTGACACAGAATTTAATGTGTTTTGGTTTTTTTGACAGAATTATAGTGAACATCGTTCACAGCACTTCTGATTACCTTCCCAAAGTTTTGCGATTTTTGAATGTGGCTTTTGATAGCTCAGGTGATTGCTTAATTGCTGGGGACCATCAAGGAAATATCTACGTTTTTGACTTGAATGGAAACAGGTAAGCAGACACTTTTGATATTTGTCTTATTTAACAAGTTATTAATTCACTGATTATTTTAATACCTGCTATTCATTATTCATTCAGAAAGATTTATTAAGTTCTTGCTATATTTCAGGTACCTTGTGAAAAACACTCTCATAGTGCTGATGGAAGAAAGTGGGAAAGGAGAGGAAGATAATATGGTTAGATTTTTTAGAGAATTAAAGTGCTGGTTTTAGCAGTATCTCTAGTAGCTTATTTTTCCTTAAATTTAAAAATTCGCAATTGCTAATTTATCAGTTAATATCTGGTACTTCTGTAGGCAATTTAGAAAGAACACAATTTCCTTTGTACATTATTGTCACAGTATACTAGATCCAAAAATTTAAAAAAATTGTTCCTCCTTCCTCTTTCTCTTCTCTCTCTTTGCTGAACAATTTAGTCCAAAAGCCATTAGGCGAGATTGACCAGGATAGGGACCCGGGCAGCAGGGGTCGGCGGGAGGGAGAGCTGTGATGGCCTAGCCACGGAGTCGGAAGGTGTCTGTGTGGGGGACAGGACAGTCATGGGAAAGACAGGGGGCTTTGGTCAAATTAGTAAATATATTGAGGATAATGGGGCCAGTTTTCTCACTATTGGAAAGGGAAGTTACAGATATGGAAAGGGAGGAAAGTAGAATGAACCCTGTGGTACTGGACTGGAATTGGATATAGCAGTGTGAACTCTTGGTTTTGAATATATACAGCAATACATAAAAATAAAGAGAGGGGTGTGTTTGAGAGAGTGAATGAAGTATATGTACATATATTCCCTAGCTTTGTCCACTCAGAGGGCCCAGAAGCAACAACACTCCAGTAGCAATAATATACCCAGGGCCCAGTTCTTCTTTTCTAAATACCACTCTCTGCTAAAAGGAGTCATGGATCCTTCCAGAAATGGCCAGTTTCAGGATGGAGGCAGGGAAAGTACAAGGTGAGCCTACATTGTATAGCCAGAAAGAAGGAATTGTTTAAAGAGTGATGGGGATGTGTCAAAAGGACTCAAATGTCAGCTTGGTGGAGCTCCCTCTGACCGTATTGGAGACAATTTGAGCATCAAAATAAATAATGATACTGCTGGGTCAAAATCCATTGGATAAAATAGAAGTCCATGAATTCGTGCTGCAATCAACAAACAAACAAATAGTTTAATGGGAATGGATATTTGCATATTAACAAAGTACCTCTGCACAAAATACGTATTGATTACAGATGAAAAGAGAGTAATTTTACAGTGAAGAAGCCTAGCAAACACTATCTTAACCAAATGATTAAAGTTAATATAACCAGTGGTGAGAGAAATCAAAATGTGTATGCCACCTGGTTGGATGCAATGAAAAGAACACAGGTCACTTCTGTGATATTCTGTCAAAGGCATGTAACCTGAATCTAATCGGTGGAATCATCAGACAGAGCTAAATTAAGGGCATTGTATAGCAAGACTGGCCTGTAATCTTCACAGGGGTCAAGGTCATGAAAGTTGTGGAAAGACTGGAGAACTGTTCCAGACTGAGGGAGACTAGAGACATGACAAAGGCATGAATCTGGACTGATCCTTTTACTGTAAAGGACATTATTGGGACAACTGGCAAAATCAAATGGGGATCTAAGGATTTGATGGTGGTAATATGTAAATGTAATTTTCTGGTTTTGGTTATTGTGTTGTGATTATATGGGAGAATTTCCGTGTTTGTAGGAAACATAATCTTGGTAACTTATTCTCAAATAGTTCAGGAAAAGAAGAGGTCATATATGATTTCTTTATCTGTGACTTACAAGGTAGAAATCTGTTCATCTTTTTTTCTGCTCTTTACCAAAAAAGTTCTCTTCTTTACCAAAAACTCTCCCACCCTTTACTCTTGCCCAGCCTACCCTGCCAATTCCCAAACTTCAATCAATACAACTGTCTCTTCTTCACTCCCACTGCTAAACAAAATAAGAATAATTGTTGGTTGACTCCTACAGAATAATAAACTTCGACATCAGTGATACTTAGCACTTCATTTGCTTATCTGGTGTTACTTACGTTTCCCATTTTCCTCTGAGTATTCCAAACTGCTACCAATTTCCTTGTGTTTGACCCTACTCTTATTCTGACTGCCTGGCCTCCTAATTCCTGAGAATATAGATGCCTTCAGCCTTCCTTTCCTCCTCCCCAACCACAGTGTCAAATGTTATCTGTAAGTTCAACCACGCATACCTCTTTGTTACCTTATTCATAAAAATAGGTGATCCTAATTTCTTCCAGTGCTAATCTCTATCTTCTACAGCCTCCACTGGGACTTCGCACCATGAGTGTTCCTTTCTTTTATTTTGTCCACTGTCCCTTTTCTCTCTGTTTATAAATATTCATGGCTTAGGAGATGAGTAAATGGCAGAGCTGAGACCTGAAATCTGGTCTGTGTGATTCCAAAGCCCACTACACTTGGCTCCCTCAAAATCTTCCTAATTGCCTAATTCAAAGGTCTCTTCATTCTCATCTTACTAAAGCGCTAAATACTCTTGTCTCCTCCTCCTCCCTGAAATTTTTTTCTTTGTCTTCAAGGTACAAGTCTTTCCTGATTTTTCTACTCTCTGATCATTTTTTCCCTTGTTTTGCTGACTCTTCCCCCAGTGCCTACCCCTTTATTGTTGAGGTCTGCAGGCGTCTGTCCTTGGCCTAATTCCTTCCATACTCCAGGTCTTCTCTTTGATAATCTCATCACCACCCAGCCTCAGGCTTCAGCTTCCGTGTAAACGCTGTTAACTCAGATTACTTCTGTACAGACTGGATACCTGCTAGGTTGGACTGTCCAGTGCAGTGGCCCCCAGCTGCAGATAGCTCTTGAGCCTTTGAAAGGTGGCTGGTCCGAACTGAGATGTGGTGTTAGTGTAAATACGCATTGGGTTTTGAAGACTTAGTATGAAAGAAAGAATGTAAAATATCTCACTAATTTTATTGATTAAATATTAAAATGATACTATTTTAGATAGATATTGAGTTAAATAAAATATGTTACTAAGATTAATTTTACCTGTTTCTTTTTACTTTTTTAATGTGGCTCCTAGAAAATTTGAATTACACATGTGGCCCTCATTGTATTTCTTTTGGATAGCACAGCTCTAAATGTTTTGCAAAGGCCTTAAACTCAACATGTTTAAAACCAGGCTTATTATTTCCTACTCCCAAACTTGTTCCTCTTTTGCCCAAGTTTGAAAACTTTATGTTTTTGTAAATTAAACTCTGGCTTTTGCCAGGTACTCTGCTAAGCACTTAAGATATTTCATTTAATCGTCACAGCAACCTTATGAGATAGCTGTTCTTCATCTTACACATGAGGAATTCTTGATTCTTCCCTCTTCACGCTGTGTCTGACGCATCACCAAGTCTCTCTGCGCTTGAGTTCTGACGCCCCTCCTAGTAGTCCTTTGCATTTTCTGTGCCCCTCACTCTGGTTGAGATTCTCTGTAGCAGCTTGCTTTCTTAATAATCTCTTCTGCCTTGTCCCTCTGTCCATTTTCCATTGCTTCCAGAATCATCTTCCTAAAAGACATGCCTGCTCATAATTCTGCTTTGCTTAAAAACTTTTGATAAATCTGAACTCCTGTACATGTCATATAGCACTCTTCATCATCTATAGTTGGCCTACCAAAATGGGAGCTTATTTTTCTGGGTTTTATTGTCTTCATCTCTAAGGATCCCTCCAGTGTAAAATTTATGATTATTGGAAGAATTTCTGATACTAATGCAGTAATCTTTTACTAGGTTTAATCTTGTTCAGCGAACAGCACAAGCTTGCACAGCTCTGGCCTTTAATCTTCATAGGAAGTCTGAATTCCTTGTGGCATTAGCTGATTATTCTATTAAATGTTTCGATACAGGTAAGAAGTCCTCCTGTATACCTTTTGAAACAGAGTGAAATGTAAACTGAAGTACTGTAAGGAGTTTGCCAATCTGTACAGTTTGAGAGAGTCCCCACAAGACGGCCCTCACTTCAGACACTAGCCACAAGTTTGGGGGTGCCAGGACCATCCTCATGTCAGATCAGCTGGCTGCAAATTCAGGGTCCCCCACAACTACCCTCAGGTTTGATAATTCACTAGAATGACTCACAGAACTCAGGAAAGCATTATGCTTATGATTATAGTAGTTTTAATGTAGTTAAAGGATACAAATTAGAACCAGCCAAAGGAAGAGATGCATAGGGTGGAATCTGGGAGGCTCCCAAAAGAGAAGCTTCTGTTGTATTCAGGCATGCATGACCCTGTCAGCATTGATGTGTAGCCATCCGCACTGAGTATTGCCAAACCAAGAAATTCACCCAAGCTTTGATGTCCAGGGTTTTTACTGAGGCTCCTACTCATAGGCATGATTGGTTGGATTATTGCCCACCTGGTTGAACTCAATTTCCAGCCCTCCTTCTCTCTCGGGAGGTCGAGCTGATACCACGTAGCCCCAGCCCCAACCTTCAAATCACTCACATGGTTGGTCTTTCTGGTCTGGCCAGCGCCTACTCTGAGGTTCACCCCTTAGCATAAACCATCTGCTGTTGTCTGAGGGACCTACCGTGAATAACAAAGACACTCCTATCACTGGGGAAACTCCAGGGGTTTAGAGAATGCCTCCAAGGAGCCTGGACAAAGGCCATATACTTCTCTTTGAGGGCCAAATTCCTTACTACACAGATACAATAATATTTTTTAATATAAACTATGTATTTTATACCACATTATTCTTTTTTTTTTGTATGTGAGCAAGATTGTCCCTGAGCTAACATCTCTTGCCCATCTTCCTCTTTTTGTTTGAAGAAGATTGTCCCTGAGCTAACATCTGTGCCAGTCTTCCTCTATTTTGTCTGTGGGACACCGCCACAGCACAGCTTGATGAGCAGTGTGTAGGACTGTGCTCGGGATCCAAACCCATGAACCCTGGGCCGCTAAAGCGGAGCGTGTGAACTTAACCACTATGCCACTGGGTTGGCCCCCATCATATTTTTCTGTAGAAAACTTAAGAGTTGTCTACACTGAACCTCTTATTCTTATTAATAAAAAAAAGATAATTGTATTGTTTTTTCTTGTTATTAAAGTAATTGTTATATTTAGAAAGACATATAAACAGTAATACTAACAATAGTAATAATAGCAATAGCAATCACTTATATAGTATTTACTCTGTGCCAAGTATTGTTCTATGACTATACATATTAATTAATTTTAATCATCATAATAACCCATGGAGATGATTACTATTATTTTCCCCCTTTTGCAGATGAGGAAACTGAGGCACATAAGTAACTTGACAAGAAGAAAAATCTGTCATCCTTCAGTAACGTCCAGAGACACACTCAGTGTTTTTATTACAGGGTCTTGTCTTTCCAGTCTGTTTTCTATGCATAGACCTTTTATATTCTAACAAATGTATGATCATTCTATCTATGTTGTCTTGTGGAATCATTTTCTAAACCTATTAAAAATTCACACAGTATATTTAAAATCAGGACCTAATATTCTACTTTATAGATGTTTGCAGTACTCTATTTAACCTGTTACTTTTGGCCTTCAAACTGTTTCCAATTTTTGGTATTACAAACACTGCTGTCAGAGAATTTCTGAAAAACTAAGTCTTTATCCTCATCTGTGCTTGCTTTCCTTGGATTTCACCCATTCTTTTTTCCTCTCTTCTTAGTTCCCGCTCTTCATAGTCTCTTCTGTCTTACTGAACCCTCCTGGTAGTGGACCCCCTTCCTTAGGTGTTGTCTCCACCTCCCTCTTGCTTCACTATCAGATTCTGCTTCTTCACAGCATCCATCATCGGACTCTGACTCCTGCTCCCCCACTCCATGCTACGGAGACGTCTATCTCCAAGATCATTAGCGACCTCTGATTGTTTAAATCCTCTTTATACTTTTCATCCTACTTCTCAGTAGCTTTTAATGCTTGGGATTACTTTAAGAGTCTTAGTCTTCATACTGTTATCTCTCTTGGGTCTCCTCCTATCTTTCCGACTGCTTTTAGTAGTCTCTCCTGGGTTCTTTAGTGGGTCCTAGACTTTTGGATTTTTGACCCAATTGAAAAGAAGAAGTAGAGGAACCCACATAGGTTGTTAGCTTTTAATTTTGCTAATTGACATTGGGAAAAACAATATAACTTCATTTTATAAAATAAGTGATTTTTTTAACATAACCTTAAAAGGATATAATACAAGATTAAAAGGTAGTACTTTAAATTGAGCTTTATGAAAAACTCATTACGTTATCCTTATTTTTCTCATTTTACTGAGGCCCAGTGAGAACTTATCATTAACTAATGCCAGACTTTACACTGGTGTTTGGAAACCACCACCCTCTCCCTAAGGGTTTGTGTGTCCCTCCGTCTTCAGTTTTGACCTACTTTGTATCTTAATGTTTCCCAGATTTGCATCTTGCTTTCTGACTATTCTCCTCAGTTCCATCTTTCTGGAGGAAAAAATCCTGTTCATAAAAGTAAAACGTGGCTACCGTAGAAAACTTGGAAACACAGAAAAATGTAAAGAGAAAATAAAAATCATTTGAAATTTTACTACCCAGTGATAATTATCATGAATAGTTGACGTTTTCCCTACCAGACTGTTTTCTCTGCTTGTGTGTAACATGCACATGTGTGCACACACAGGCACCTCAGAGTCAATTTTAGAAATCAAATTCGTTCTCTCTTCTTCCCACACTGCTAAATCTGTTCCTTCTCATGTGTCTCTTACCTCATTTAATAGTATAGTATCACCATCTGTTTACATAACTTAAACTACAACTGCTGGAGTTTGAACTCTTTTTATCTCAACTCGTCCATTTGGTCACTCACTCCTTTGGGTTTTCTCTTTCATAGCTCTTGAATTTCTTCCTTTCTCCATTGCCACCTTCTTAGTTTAGACCCCACTTATCTCCTGCCTGGATTATTACAACAACAAATAAATCAGTCATCTTGACTAATCTCTTCCCCCTTTCTGATAAATCCACCATATATCTTCAGAGTGCTCTTTCTAAAACACAGACCAGATATGGTACTCCTCTACATAAAACTGTTACTCACAAGAGAAAGCCCAAACTACCTAGAGTCACATATAAAGCCGTTCTCAAACCCTTTTTCAGCCTCATCTCTTCATACCTCCATGGTACACGTGTTACCAGCATATCCTGGGGTGCACTTTATCAACTAGCCACAGGCTTCCATTTTTGTGGATGTTAACGGAGGTGCCTCATGTAATACCTCACCATCAATCGAATCAGTTCTTGGATGATAAATACTGTTTTACCTGTATAACTTTTATTTTTTACCACAGTTACCAAGGAGCTAGTTAGCTGGATGAGAGGACATGAATCGTCAGTATTTTCGATCTCTGTGCATGCGTCAGGGAGATACGCCATCACTACTTCTTCTGATACAGCACAGCTATGGGACTTGGATACCTTTCAGAGGAAAAGAAAGCTGAATGTTCTCCAGTCTGTGGGTATACAAAAGGTCAGTGAGGGAGCACATCTTGGTCTGTTGTGCTTCTCAGGCTGGTTTCTTGGTGAGCAGGGTTTATAGATGATACAAGAGTGGTGATTCACTTTCTCCCACGTAGCTGTGTTCTCGTAACTCCACAAGAAGCAAAGTGGCCTGCAGAATTGAGGATGTTGCCTGTGGCTGCAATTTATAACTTATGGGGCTTTTCTCCTTTTTTTTTTCTTTTCAATTATTATTGTAGTGTCTAACTTCAACTGTAGTAAAGTGATAGTTTTTATTTAGCTGATTGGTTTTGTTTTAGTTTTTAATTCCCCCCAACACTTTGTTATGAAAAATTTCAAACATGCAGGAAATTTGTAAGAATTTCACAGTGAACATGTGACACCCACCATCTAGGTTCCACCATTAACATGTTCTTATACTATACTTTCCTTTACTGTACTTATATGTTACTACACTATATTATGCATCTTTCTGTCTCTGTTCATTAATTCACCTTTTTTCTTTCTTGCATTTTGAAGTAAATTGAAGACATCTGTATATTTGCCCATAAATATTTAAGCCTGCATTTAATTGACTAGGGTTCAGTATTTGTTGATGTGAACTTTATGTATAATGAAATGCACAAATCTTAAGTATTCATTTTTTTAAGTTTTGACAAGTACATACATCTTTATAACCTATCATTACCATCATTCCAGAAAGTTCCATTATGTCCCTTCCCAAGTAAACACTACTCTGATGTTTTCCCACCATAGATTAGTTTTGTCTGTTCTAAAATTTTGTAAATACAGCTAGTCAGTAATGGCATGTATAAAGCTTTTTTCTTTTAGCGTAAGGTTTTTGGGATTCATCCATGTTGTTGTATATATCAGTAGTTTGTTCCTTTTTATTGCTGATCATATATCAGCAATAAAATATATATTATATATATATAAATGATATATATATCATTTAAAAAAAATCCATATCTTGCGCTTTTAAGCTTTAATTTTTTTTTTTCTATTTGATTAGCTAAATACTGTTTTCAGGATTGTCTGAGTCTCCCGTGTGATTATTTTGCTTCAGGTTATATTATACATGCAGTATTGCTTTTAATTCCTTGGTTATTAACATGAACAGCTAACAGTGCATGTCAACCAAAATTTTATTTTGTAGTCTGCATGGAAATCCCAGAGCTCTTTAGTTTGCCTTTAATAATTAAAAAACGATAAAAGTTGTAGCCAGCTTATTCATCAGGGATTTAGGCCAAATGTCTTAGTAGGTCTTTTCTTCTTTAATTGCTTTAGTACTTAAATTGAATTTTAAATTCCAAAGAAGAGAGCATTGGGAGTTGAACCCACAATGGAAACAAAGTTATGAAATGACACAAAAACTATCTGTTCTTTTACCGTGAAATTAAAATTAGTATACCCTGGATAGTTGCCAATTCTAACCTTGCTTGGTCATTTAGATATTTTAGTTTAAAAAATAGGACTCCAAATGTTAGTGTTATGAGAATAAAATTAAATGTAGAAAATATATGTATAGTATGCAGTATGCATATAAGTATATTGTTCTAAAATAATAGATCACCATACTCTATAAGTTACTAGCAGACTTTTTCTCAAAGGATCAGATAGTAAATATTTTTGGTTTTGCAGGCCAAGAGCACAATTGAGGATATTATGTGTGTACTTATTTCATAAATAATTAAAAAATATAAGAATCATTCTTAGCTCCTGGGCTACACAAGAACTGGAAATGGGGCAGATGGTTGCCACTCCTGGCTTAGTCTTTGAAAATAGGAAATAATTGTAAACCAGTCTTAAAGTAAAACTTTTATTCTTAGCAAAAGCTAAACCTATATTTTTATTCCAGTTTCTATATTTTAAATAGGACTTTTGTGATTTTGTCTTGATGACACATGGTGACACATGATGCTATGGGTCTCATTTTATGATGGCTCTTTTAATCTACAACAGTCTCCCACCATTTTTTTCCATGATGTCCACAATTTTTTTTGAAAGAGAGACCAGACCAGTTGTCTTGAAAAATGCTGCACATTCTGGATTTGTCTTACTGTTTCATCATTATGTCACTTAACTTGTTCTCTCACTTGTATTTCTTATAAACTAGAAGTTAATTCTAAAGGCTTGAGTAGATTCATGTTAAACATTTTTGATAAGCTATCTACCTTATGTGTAAGATGAAAATAGTAATAGCACTTTAGGGTTGGTTTCAGGATTGAATGTGGTAATGTATTGAAGGCGCTTAGCACAATGCTCGTCATATAGTAAGTGCTTTGTGAAAGTTAGCTGCAGCTGCTGCTGTTTCTATGATTGTTGTTATTGTTACTATTATCTATAATTATTGTCATTTATTATCTAGCCCTATCATGGGATTATCTTACTCAGTGCAGTTATAGATCTTCTTAAAAAGCTGTAAGGCAGCTGTATTGTTTTTCTTTTGAATACATTAAATAGATGCGCAATCCCTTATTAGCAATTCAGAAACCCAAAAGTTTTTAAATAACTCACTTGGTGGCAAAATCTGATCTGACTTGATTTCATTTGGCAGCAAAACCTGAACTGAATTACATGAGGCTGAAATATTAATATGTTTGAGTATGGGGTGTTGCTGCAGGTCACCTGAGGGTTCCACCTAATATTACAGAGTACGCATCATATTACCTTTCTCAAATCAGACATAGTGCTGAATTCTGGAACACATCTGATCCCAAGTGTTTCAGATGAAGAACTATGGACCTCTGATTTCAAAATATTTTTAAAGAACCTACCATCCCAACCTCTTTCCACTGTTTTTTGTACCTAGCAATAGCAGTAATTAATACTAATAGTAATAGGTACCAATTGTTGAGTACTTACTGTGTTCCTAATACTCTGTTTAGCTGTTTTTAAGCTTAAATAATCCTAAAATGTAGATACTATAATCCTCGTTTTACAAATGGGGAAACTGAAGTTCAGAAACGTTAAGTAACCTGCCAGGTATCACATAGCTTATAAAAGAGTTGCAATTTGAATCCAAGCTTGCCTTGCTCCGAAGTTGTTCCATTACACCATCCTGTCTCTCAGGTAAACCAATCACACCTCTTCAAAGTAGTAAATTTTGTTTTTTTTGTTGATGCTTGGAGGTAGAATGTTTAGCTCTTTTGTTAGGAATTTTGGAATAAATCCTGGGATTTCTCATTACTGTGGCTTAGTGTGTATTGGAAAAGATTTTGTGATGGAGATCAGAAAGCATTTAATAGAGTGTGTTACTGAACTTAATTCAGTCTCTGTATGCAATGGGCACTCACTAAATTTTTGCTGAAGTGTACATTTGACCTTAACTTGCTCTTACTACCATCCTGAACTCTTTCTTTGAAAAGAGCTCGTGTACCTCTCAAAAATGAATTGGAAAGCCTAGGATTTTCATATTTTATAAGGGGAAAAACTGCAGCCCCATCCTTGTACCCGACCCTCCAAAAAGTACATTTTGTTAGTACTTTTGAAGTTTTTTCTAAGCTTTTTATGTTTGTCAAGAGATGACACTATCTAAATAATGACATGATTCATTAGCAACAATTTTATAATCATTAAAGTCTAGCAATTAAAATCACAAATCTAGTAATGAATAATCATGTAGGCAATAATCTATCACAGCCATTCCCCTAAAATAGCACTTGATGCTCATTAACTTTTAAGCTTTTGCTTCTCCCAGTAGGAATAAACTTTGTTACTTTTCTAGAAAAATATTGCTGATTATAAAGAAAATCTTAAGTCACTTTTTTTGACATTGGTTTTGAAACAGTGTTTTAGTGCATTTGTTATAGATTATAGCGTGTTCATTGCAAAGTCTTTCTATAAGACCTTCGTATTATAAATCTTCCTAACATAATGAATCTTTTGGCAAAAGATCTACCAGACATTCCCTTTGACAAAGTGAGCCAAGGACAGAAGTGAGGGACTGGATCAGGCAAGGCCGTCAGCGCCTTATGTAGTTGAGTTAGCATTTTGTATTGAGTCTTGTTAACGTTAATCCTGAGTAGATTGTTTTAATTAACCAGTATGTTCCATAGTACATTATGTATATGTGTATATATGGGGTTTTTTAAGCACTATTTCTTATTGAAAGAAGAGATACTATTATATGTGTATGAGAAAAACAGTTTATGATAAGAGCCTACAACTATTGTTATGAAAATTATGGCTTACAGTACCCTGAAATTTTGATGGTAATATTATTAACTTTGAGAATCGCTTCCTGTGTGTTATAATAGGCCGGGTGACAGTAGCACAAATTAGATGCAAGACTGCAGAAGTATTCATATAGGTACCTTATTGACCCATTATTTTTGTAACAATGAGAAAAACCATGGTAGATTGGTGTTGATCCTGATTTTCCCCTGGACAGTCACTTCTGGCCTGCGCTCTCTCAGTACTGTGACGACGGCCGTATCCAGCTGCCAGATACTCAGGAGACACTCCAATACAGTGTTAAAAACAAAGGCTGCCCCACTCATCTCCAAAGAATGCAGCATTCCAAGAGAAAACAGGCCTCCTCCTGACACTAGTAAAGTTGTAAAGCTGTGTGACAAGTCAGGGATCAGAATGAGAGGCCAGAGATTCTTAAAGGTGTTCTGCCTCCTCAGTGAGTCCCTGCTCCTCTCTTTTCAACATAGAAACAGTCATATATTTTAAAAAATAATAATAAGGCTTGTAAAGACACACCAGTAGAAACAATGACGAAATATGTTCAAATATAAAGTGTTACGATAAGCTATAATGCAATTAAGGTCATTCTAGGTGGGAATCAACGAATAAATAGCTGGAGATGTAACTAGTGATCAAACCATGTGAAATGTCTCAAGCTATTTGAGGGGATTTCTTTTGAGAGGACGAGCAGGAGTATTTTGTCCTTAGGGCATTGATTTCTTCTGTTTTCTTTCCTTCTTTCTTTTCCTCCCTTTCTTCCCTTCCTCCCTTTGTGTGTTTTACACGGATGACACACAAAATGTATATTTGAGGCCATTGAAACTCTTATGAGAAAAAGTTGGTCAATTTTAATTAAAATTTTATATTATTAAAACTAAGCATTGTTTAGTGCTTATGTAATAGAAAAATAGAAATTAGGAGAATAAAATTATATTTTCAACTTTGCTCTCAACTAATTTGTCTCATTTGTCCATTAAATAAATTGAACTTCTAAGAAAATATGATCATGTATTTGTTTTCAACTTTTTACTTTTATAAATAATGCTTAACATTTATGTACATTTATCTTAAAGCACTTTGCTGATTGTTTCTGAAGGATTTAACTCTTAGAAGTAAATTGACTATTTCAGAAGCGATACATATTTTTAAGGCTGTTGAGATATGTTGTGCACTATCTTTAACTAGTTTTTACTACCAGGAGCAGTGTATGACAATGCCTTTTCCTATGCTTTCACCAGCATTTTGTATTTTTAACATTTATCAGTAGTTAGTATTTAGTACAGTGTTTATATTATTATATGGGTTTTGTGTGTGTGTGTGTGTGTGAGGAAGATTAGCCTTGAGCTAACATCTGTTACCAATCCTCCTCTTTTTGCTGAGGAAGATTGGCCCTGGGCTAACATTCGTGCCCATATTCCTCTGCTTTGTATGTGGGACACCTGCCACAACATGGCTTGATAAGTGGTGCATAGGTCTGCGCCCAGGATCCGAACCTGTGAACCCCGGGCTGCTGAAGTGTAGCGTGGCAAAGTTAACCATGATGCCACTGGGCCAGCCCATAGTATATGGTTTATAAATATAATACACATGTTACTATATGTATGGTTTGTGTATATGTATATGTGTGTGCATTTTGAAAAAAAATTTGATACACATAAAAGGGTATCTCATTACTTTCATTTGAATCTTTTATAAGATTAAATATTTATAAATTGTTATTTAGTATTTTTTGAATTATCTAGTTATAGTCACTTATTTTTTATTTAAAGTTGAATACCTTTTTTTTTTAGTTTATAATAGTATATGAAATATCAGTATTATTCCCTGTCATATATTATAAATGTATTTTTCTCCAGTTTAAGAAAAAATAATTTTAAAAAAGAAAAATTGACTACTTGTATACTTTTAAATTTAAAGAGGGCTAAATGGGGGCTGGCCCAGTGGCGCAGTGGGTAAGTGCGCTCGCTCTCTTTGGTGGCCTGGGGTTCACAGGTTCGGATCCCGGGCGTGCACTGACGCACCGCTTGTCAAGCCGTGCTGTGGCGGCCTCCCATATAAAGTGGAGGAAGACGGGCACAGATGTTAGCCCAGGGCCAATCTTCCTCAGCAAAAAAAGAGGAGGATTGGCAACAGATGTTAGCTCAGGGCTGATCTTCCTCACAAAAAAATAAAAAAATAAAGAGCGCTAAATGATCAATAACTTTTTTTCTCCCTCTAGGTTTTCTTTCTACCATTAAGTAATACCATCCTCAGCTGTTTTAAAGATAATTCCATCTTTGCCTGGGAATGTGATACTCTTTTTTGCAAATATCAATTGCCAGCTCCACCGGAAAGCTCTAGTATATTATACAAAGTGTTTGCTATGACCAGGTAATATGCATCTTAAGATACTGAGGATTTTTAAGAAATTTAACTTCCAGTGAAGTTTTATAAGTTTTTATTCCGTATCTCATTGTCATATGAGGAAAAGTTTCCTTCAGACTTAAATGTCATCTATAGAAGGTTTTTTTTTTTGTTTACTTTATTGTGGGAAATTTAAAGTAAACATAAAAATATAAAAGTTCATGACTCCCTAAGTACAGTCCTCTGATTAGCTGTAACAATCATCCTAATAGCCACTCCTTTTTATCTATAACTCTGCCTACTATTTCTCTACTGCATTGTCTTAAAGAAAAGCCCAAGCATATCATTCCATCCATAAATATCCCAAGGTGCATTTCTAAAGCATAAGGGCCCTTTTTGAAACATAACCATAGTACTGTTTTCACACTTTTTAAAAATTAATAATTTCTCAATATTGTCATATAGCTAGTCATTATTCACATTTCCCTGATTTATCTGATTGTTTTTTATGGTCTGTTTGTTCAGGTCAGGCACAAAACCAGATTCACACATTGTCTTGGTTGATATAGCCCTCTTTTTATTTTTTCTCGCAGTTTATTTGTTAAATGTCATTTGTAAAATGTCATTTGTCCTAGAGTTTTCTATATTCTGGATTTTGCTCTTTGCATCCGTGTGGTATTGTTTAATGTGATCTCTGTCATCTGTATTTCCTGTAAACTGGTTACACCTGTATCCTATAAATTGGAGGCTTGATCTGATTCAAGTTTGACTTTGGGGCAAGAAGACATCATGAGTGGTGTGTGTACTTTCATCAGGAGGAACGTAGAGCTCTTTCTCATGTGATGTTAGTCGCCATCGATGATTATTACCTAGATCCAGTATTAAATTAGAGATTAGCAAAATGGTGCTGTTCTAATTCTGGCATTCCTTCTTCCCTTATTAACTAGAAACTCCTGTAGAAAGAAACTTCGTCTCATCAACTCTTTCATTACTTTGATGTATAGTTTGTAAAGAAAAGGCAGGATAAATGCTTGATTTCCCCCTTTTTTTAAAAAAATTTTTTTCAAAATAATGAATTGGTTTATTGGCATCTTTCAAAGGTGACCAATGAAGTTTTTTGTCTTTAATATTTGTAAATTCATGGATTTAAACATAGTTGGCATGATTTGATCCATTCAAGTTGTTATTCTTAGTGATGCTCCAATTCTCTCGTCTTTGAGCAGTCGGATCCTCTTCAAGTTGCCTTTAAACCCTTTTGATACAACTGCATTTGTCTGTGATAGCTTTTGTTCTTTTTGGTCTGACAAGATATTCCAGGCTTATCTTGTGTATTTCCTGTCCCAAACCTGGAATCAGCCATTTCTCTAAGGAGCTAGGGTTCATTTTAGTGGGAAATGAACCTGGATGCTGGGAGTTCTCATTGCGGCTAGGTTGGTCATTATTTCCAGGCCTTTTCAGTAGAAAGAGCTAGGAAATAGGTATTTCCTCTCTTTCTCTCACCCTCTTGTAAGCCATCAGTAGATCCCATCAACTCGACCAGACTAGACCTTTTTGTCTCTCTGTACCCTCAGCTATTACCCTAGTCTCTTTCAGACTACGGTAATAGCCTCCTTATTTGGTCTCCTTGTTTTCAATCTTGTCTCCTAAAGTCAGTCTCCACGTCACAGATAGAGTGGTCTTTTTAAAGCATTAAGTCAAATCATGTCACTTCTCTATTGAACCCCCTTGAAAGGCTTTCCACTGTACTTAGAATAAAATCTGAACTCCCCACCACATCCCCTGAGGTCTTTTGTCATCTGGCCTAGGCCTGCCTCTCTTTCCTCATCTTCTTTCCTTCCCCTGACACTGTTCCAGCCCACTTCAGTGTGGCTTCTCACTCTTCCTTCATATTAACCTGTTCCTTTCTCAACACTTTTGTACTGGCCAGCCTGGAATACTGAGCAGCATGGAATTCTCCTTCCAAATCATCCCATGACTGGCCCATTCACATCATTCACGTAGCAGATCTTCTTCCTTTCCCAGCTCTGTAACATCACCTCATTTTATAGTTCTTTATAGAATTTATCATCAGCTGAGATCAAGTTCGTTTGTTTATTTGCCTCCTGTAGTCTGAAAATCCCGTAAGAGCAAGAATCTTACCTGTCTTGTTCACCACTGTGTCCCTGGCACCTGGAATGATACCTGGCTTATAGTAGAGACTTGACAAGTTCTTGGTGAATGAATGAGCAACAACCTTGCAAAGAAATACAGCTTATTCTTTTTGGTCCTTATAAACATAAAGTAGCTTTCTTTGAGCAGGGAAAAATGTTTGGGCTTTTTGGTTTTTCATATAGCAATGCTGTAACAATTCAATATAGTCATATAGGAAATACAGAAAGTTGGATAGTGGTAAGTGACGTTGAGATTATGCTATAAAATATAAATGTTACTCAGAAACCCCCAATTAAGTCAACAAACAAATATTTGTTAAGCTGGTGTTGTAGCGCAATAGGTAAAAACAATATATGCTACAAACCTGAGCTTTCCTATATTGTAGCCACTAGGTGCATGGGACTATTTAAATTAATAAAAATTAGATAAAATTAAGAATTTCCTCAGAAGCACTAGCCACATTTCAACTTCTCACTAATCACCTGTGCCTAAATAGTGACCATATTGGACAGCGTAGATGTAGAATGTTTCCATCATCATCTTAGATCATATTGGACAGTGCTGCTGTAAACAATTCGTCTAGTCTTACGTCTCACCTTTTTGTTGTATAGAGATGGTCGAATGCTGGCTGCTGGAGGCAAATCAAACCATCTTCATTTGTGGTGCTTGGAAGCTAAACAGCTATTTAGAATTATCCAGATGCCTACTAAAGTTCGAGCCATTCGCCAACTAGAATTTCTTCCTGATAGTTTTGATGCTGGTTCTAATCAGGTTAGTAACATAAGTATTACTAACGTTGTACTTTTTGAGAAAAATCATATCAATTTCTGAACTAGATTAGCTCTCGTACTTAACTTGTACCCTGATGGGTATAAGGATTTGAAACTGCTAATGTATTATTTTTGTGAAGGGTCTAAAATTGAAAAAAAAATTTTAAATCTTAGGTTCTGTATGTTGCTGACAATGTACCCTTTTTCTAAAATCAGTATACTTTAAATTTATGTCATACTTCATGTTTACAGGGCGCTTTAGCATGTTATTTTTTATTTGATCCTTAAAGAATTCTTTGAACATAGGCAGAGAAGGTATTCTCACCATCATACAGATTGTGACACTAAAGCTTAGAAACATAAAGTGACTTGTCAACACTCTTGTTAATTGTAAGGATTGAAGGTGGGACTAGAACTAAAATTTTCTCATTCTGTTGTGCTGTGTTTTATCTACCATCAAGGGTGCCTCAATCCCATGAGACATGTTTTCTTTATATCTTGCCTTAGTTTACAAAGTGCTTTTCCTCCACACACATCTTTTTTCTTTTTAATAGTTGAGTACAGTCAAACCTTAACTTTTTTATTTTAAATTGACTATCTTGGATCTTGCACTTCAACAGAGTGATGGAACACAAACCATCCACACTCCTTGCCTCTGACAGCCGGTGTGGAGGTCAAAGTTAAGAACTGTCTAATCATCTGTAATCCCTCTGTAGGGATTAGTGGAGACGTGGCCTGCCTGTGGGAAGGAAAGATTCTCAGGTGACCTTTCCATAGTCCCCTAGGATGGACTCCTTGCTGGTTTTTTTTTTTTTTTTTTTTAATTTAATTTTATTTATTTTTTCCCCCAAAGCCCCAGTAGACAGTTGTATGTCATAGCTGCACATCCTTCTAGTTGCTGTATGTGGGACATGGCCTCAGCATGGCCGGAGAAGTGGTGCCTCGGTGCATGCCCGGGATCCGAACCCAGGTCGCCAGCAGCAGAGCGCACGCACTTAACCGCTAAGCCACAAGGCCGGCCCTCCTTGCTGGTTTTGGGTTGAGCCAAGCTCATCTGGACCTGAAGAGGGCAAATCTACATGAGCCATAATTAGGGATTTGAAAATATATAATGGCTCTCTGCGAATATAATCTCCTCTGACTGTCCTCCCCTCCAAAAAAAAAAAATACACACACCTACATACATATGTGTGTATGTGGTTCGACTTTCAGACATTTGACTCTTAAATGTGTTTTTAGGAACTCATCTGTTGTTTCTCTCCACTCTTAGGTTCTTGGAGTGCTAAGTCAAGATGGTATTATGAGGTTTGTCAATATACAGACTTGTAAACTTCTCTTTGAAGTTGGGAGCCTTGATGAAGGAATTAGCTCATCAGCGATTAGCCCACATGGACGGTACATTGCATCTATTATGGAAAATGGAAGTCTGAACATATATTCAGTTCAGGCTTTAACGCAAGAAATAAATAAGGTATGTCATCAAGTAAACAACATCAATTTTTTTTTTTTAAGATTTAAGTGTATCATCAAAAATAAAATCTTTTTTTTTTTTTTTTGTGAGGAAGATCAGCCCTGAGCTAACATCCACGCCAATCCTCCTCTTTTTGCTGAGGAAGACCGGCCCTGAGCTAACATCTATTGCCGGTCCTCCTTTTTTTTTCCCCCTTTTCTCCCCAAAGCCCCAGTAGATAGCTGTATGTCATAGTTGCAGATCCTTCTAGTTGCTGTATGTGAGACGCTGCCTCAGCGTGGCTGGACAAGCGGTGTGTCAGTGCACGCCCGGGATCCGAACCCGGGCCACCAGTAGCGGAGCACGCGCACCCAACCGCTAAGCCATGGGGCCAGCCCCCAAAAATAAAATCTTTATGCTATGATTTTCTAACTTCCCTTGGACCTTATCCATTTTTCTGGATTTTTTTTTTTTTTTGCCCTTACTCCCAAAACCACATCTCCAGACTTGATTTCTCACCTATGCTCCCTTCTTAAATCGCTGCCTTCCTAAGGACATCTCTTTGTTGGCTCTATCCCATTCAAGGTGCCCCTCATGATCTGCTTCCCAAAAGAAGCTTTCAATTCCAGTCTCTTCATATCTGTCTCACTCTTTCTTCCCATCGTGTAGGCTAGAAACCTTGGAGCACTATGACTGTTCCTGTTCCTTCATTTTCTAAATCTAGTCAATACTAAGTCATGTAATTTCTTAAATTTGGAATATCTGTATATGTGCTGCCTGTTCTCCATCTCTATATTAGCTATCCTTGTATTGGTCCTCATTAGCTGCTCTTGAATAACAGTAATTTAAATAATTTAGTAATTTAAACAAAACTCAGAGCCCCCAGCGCCTTCCCCTGCTCATCAATCCATCTTTCATATAACGTTTCTCTAAAATAGTACTTTCATCACTTATTTCTAAAATAGTGCTACCTTAGTGGCTTCCTTTTGCCTGTTGCATTAAGTCCAGACTCGTCTACCTGGCTCTCAAGGTCCTCTCTAATCCTGTCTACTCTACGTGTCTAATTTATTTCTTCATACTGGTAACTTCCCTCATCGTCCAGCATAGATGCCATTCTCATTTCTATATCTGTTATCTACATTATTCATTTCATCTAAAATAGACTTCCCTCTCCTGTTTTATGGTTATATAAAATTTCCCCAGCTTCTTGCCACGTCTGGTTGTCTATGTGCAGCCTTTCCAGGTCTGGAATTGTATCAAGGTAGCACTAGGGGAGACTTCATTCTACAGAGGAAGAAGCTCATGCGCCAGCCTAACCGCGCAGCTTGTCATTGGCGGGCCCAGTTCTATTAGTATGACAATCTTTTTGTTATGTGTCTGCTCCCCTTTGCTCTTTTTATCTTTTCTTTAATTAGACAAGTAATAAGTGTGTTCTTGCAGAGAAAAATCAAAAGGTACAGATAAGCAAATAGATAAAGAAGAATCACAGTCTTACCCTCCTCAGATGATTTTGAAATGTATATTTTCCCAGTCTTTCTGTGTGTGTAAATGTATACAATAAATCCTCATTATTTATGGATTCTGTATTTGTGAATTCACCTACTCGTGAAAATGTATCTGTAACTATAAAGTCAACATTTACCACATATTCACAGACGTTCTCATGCGCAGAGCAGCAAACAGTTTTGAGTTGCCTGACATGCAGGTTCCCAGCTGAGGTCAAACAAGGCAACACTCTGCCTTCTCATTTCAGCTCTCATACTGTAAACAGCATCCTTTTCATGGTCTATTTAGTGCTACATTTTTCACATTTTTGTGCTTTTTGTAGGTGATTTTGCTCTTTAAAATGGCCCTCAAGTGTAGTGCTGAAGTGCTGTGTGGTGTTCCAAAGCACAAGACGGCTGTGATAGATAAACTTCATTCTAGCATACGTTGTTATTGGCGTGAGTTCAATGTTAATGAGTCAACAATATATATTAAATAAGTGTCTTTAAATAGAAACCCACACCGAACAAGGTTATGTATTGATTGGTTGACAAAAATGTTGTGACTAGAGAGGCTCACAGGGACCTAACTCTGTTTCCCCTATGAGCGATGATTCGGTATTCACTAACTCAGTATTTGCGGCGACTTTATAGAACGTAGCTACTGTGAATAATGAGAGTCTACTGTGTGGTGTGTGAATTTGCTTTAAACATATGAAATTATCCTCTACTGTTCTTGTAAACTTCAAAAAATTTAATAATATATTATTATTTACTCTTAATGAGAGAGTTTTTGGCCTAGCTGAATTTTACAAGAGCTAGGTGTTATTTATAGAAGCAGGGAGAGATCTGAGAAAAATCAAGGTAAGAGAGAGTCGTTGACTTCCTCTCTGCTATTTATTAGGCAACTTGAGATCATATTGACCAGAAAAGCTCAATTATAACAGAAGTAGGGTAATCTCTTTCTTTTGGACACTTTACCCACACCACCAGTGTCTTGATTGCAGGTCTGTACAAATGCCCGGGTCCACAGTCTCCACAGCACTTACCTATGCCCCATTCCTTCAGTCCTGTTTTCTTGCCTTCGGAGAATTTCTGGTATTGTTCTAATACAGTAAGCTAATTTCTACTTACGTGTTGAAGTTTTAGCGCCACTAAGGTATGGCGATTCACGTCATATCTCAGGCTCTCACTTTTGGGAGATTGTATTTCATGGAAGAGCTGGGGTTCAAGCGGGGAAAGTGTCACTAGAATAGAAATTTTAGTAGAGATGCAGAAGAATGGATTGAGCTTAGAGAGAAGATGGTTCAACGACGTTAAAGATGGGCAGTGTTCAGAAGCCAGACCACTATTAATTACATCTCGTAGATAAAGAATTGAAAAATCATAGAATAAGTGTCATTGTACTTCTGTCAGAGCTGTTGTTATTCTGTCTTACATTATCCTTGTAATCTTTCTAGATGTGAATAAATAACAGCGTATCCTAGAAAAACACTATTAAAAAAACCTTATAAAGTTAAAACTTTAAATACTTTTCCTAATAATTTTAAAACAAAAGTGCAATATCTGTGCCATGTACATATCACGTTACCTACTCTACACATTTCACAGTGTGGTGGATTCATACATACTGCAGTTGACAATAGGGAATACCTTTTTTGGTCTCCTGTAGTAGGCTGCAGGTTTCGAAAGCAGAAGTCCTGAACCTCTGAAGGCAGCATGAGAAAAATCTTTGTTTGAAACCTCCAAGTAGTCTTTTAGTAGTCTACGTTATAAAAAAAGTCAAGGTGTTTGCTTTGTTTTATTTATTTCTTTTGGGGATAAGAGGGGAGGAGGTCAAAAAAGTTTGTTTCTGCTTCAAAGAGCTTTCCCAAAGAGTGGTGATTCATTTTCATTATACATCATCATGGAAGAATACTGTTTTGGATTTCATGACAGTTGAATTCAAGGTCATGGGTGTAATAACGTGTTTTCTGAAATCTAATGTGTTCATTTGGACGTTTGAGATATTCCTTATGTTCTTGTTCTCATACGAAAGGGATCGGCACTTTGGCTTCAAAAAATTTCTTTTTTTAAGTCACAAATCCACCTTGTCTTTGATTTGGGTCTGGGCTAATTACTAAGGGAACATTCAGCAATAATGGTCTCAAACATTTAAATACCCTATGAAGGTCATTGTATTTTAGTCATATTTAGAACTTAAAAAGCCTGAGATACCTTCTTTGCTCATTTCCTTTGAACAAGGAAGATATTTTGATTTCAAAGAGTATTTTTCATGGATAAAATGTTTCAGTGAATCATTTTACCTTAACTAAATTGAAGTTGTTGGGGTTTATTTTCCTGTTTGAAAGGGCCCCCCCAAAGTGAGGGGTTGGAATCTAAGTTGTGCTGTCTCTTAAGCCTTTGAAGCAGAAAGGGACTAACAGCCGTCTCTATGCAGATAAAAAAATGTGACCAAGGATAGAGAGGCAGGGGTCCCCTGCTTCCAGAGGAAAGGCATTTGGCAGGGAAATTTCACTTGAGCCTGAAGAATATGAGGGTGCTTCTCTCAGCATTCTAGAGGGCCATACATCTCACTGTGCCTTCTCTGCTGCAGGTCATCACCATACTACTAACTTTATCATGCAAGTGTAAGAAATGGATTGATAGTCTAAGATTTAAGGCCAGCTTTCAAGGAATAATTAAATTCTATCTATTATTGTAATCATGTATCTTTCTTGTTCTTCAAAGGAATTTGGCAGAAATTTGCTTGGATTTGTTAGTCAACAACACTCTTGGATATTTTATTTACACTTTTTGCCTGAAGAATAATTATATATATTAAGGCACATTGTTAAATTGATTAAAACAAATTTTGTAAATCATATGTAACAGGTATATTTTCCAAAGATAGCCACTGGATTTTTTTTTGTTTTTTTTGCCTTTTAGCCACCTCCTCCTTTAGTGAAAGTGATTGAAGATGTGCCTAAGAGTAAATTGAATGCTGGTGATCTTAAGATGAAAGTAACATCAGGAAGAGTACAGCGGCCGGCAAAAGCAAGGGAAAGCAAAATACAGACTAGAATATTGAAACAAGACCTGACTGGTCATTGTGAAAATAAAGAGGTAAGAATATATTATAACTAAACTTTTTTTGTCATGACTCTGCTGTAGACAAGTCTCGTGATTTCTAGGCCACCATCAGTCTTCTCTCTCTTAGGAATTAAAGGAAAGTTATATGAAGAGGAGAACATTGTAACTGAAATTGTAATATGCTTCTTAAGCTTTATGGTATAAAATTAATACATAGTTAATGGTTTTCGAAAAATCAAACAGTATAGAATTGCACTGTCCGAGACCCTGGCTGCTAGCCACATGCGGCTGCTTGAGTCCTTGAGGTGTGGCCTGTCTGAATTGAGGTGTGCTGTACATATGAAATACACATCAGTTATTGACAACTTACCATGAACAAAAGAATGTTAAATATCTTATTATTTAATAATTTTATGTTGATTATGTGTTGAAATGCTAATATTTTGATTATATTGGGTTAAATAAAATATACTATTAAACTTAATTTTACCTGCTGCTTCTTACCTTTTTAATGTGGTTCCTAGAAAATAATTTAAAATTATATTTGTGGCTTGTGTTATCTGTTAGACAATGCTGGTCTAGGTAAAGGGAAAAGATAAAAGCGTACTTTTCTTCCCCCCTGTTCCCTAGCCCACACTTGATCACACTCTCCAGAGGTAGCCATTGCTAATAGTTATTGATATCCTTTCAGAAATTTTCTGTGCATATGTAAACATACCTATATCTGCATATGTTAGCTTTTTATTCATAGATGGAATCATTCTATAGCACTATTCTATAACTTGCTTTTATCACTTAACAGATTGAATATCTGTTTATATTAGTGCATATAGTGCTACAACATTTCAAAAAATATTTGCAAAGTATTGTATTTATGAATATACCTTAATTTATCTAACTAGTACCCTGCTGGTTGGCATTTAGGTTGTATTGTCAGTCGTCTGTTAATACACTCTGTGATACAGTAGATATCCTTGTACACTTATCTTTGAACATTTGCACAGATGTATCTGTAGAAGTAGAATTCCTAAGTCAGAGTGTGTGCATAAAAATTTTGATAGTAGTCACCAAATTGTTCTTCGAAAAGAATGTACCAGTTTGCCTTTTTGCCTTGTTTGAGATGATCTGTTAGCGAGTGTGTGTGTGTGTGTGTGTGTGTGTGTGATTTATTCAAGAAAAACTTAGAAACAGCCAAAATGTCCAGTAGTAGCTCACTAATCATATAAATTGCGGTAGAGCTACACTAGAAACCTAAGAATATTTAAGAGGAAAGGGGAATAATTATAGTATGTTAAATACAAAAAGCAAGCTCCAAGAACTATATACTTGGATATCAATTTGATTTAAAAAGGATATGAGTACTCTGTGTTATTTTTAAAACTCCATGAGAAAGACCAAGATACTAATAGAATTATCTTGGAGGGAAGGGGTTTCAGTCAGTTTTATTTTCCTCTTTATATAAACTTTTTGTTTTGTCCTAATTTTCTGCAAAGAGCATGTACTACTTTAGAATTGAAAGAAAATGTAAATCTTAATAGAGAGGTTGCTGACATTTTCAAGGACTTTTTAAACTTCTCACTGACATTCAATCAATCAGTCACACAGAAAAGTACACATAAATGGACAGCTCAGTCAATTTTTACAGACTGAACACATCTGTTAGCAGCACCTACATCCAAAAGGGACTGTTACCAGCACCCCAGAAGCCCCTCTCTTGCTCCCTTCCAGACACGTTCCCCCTTACCCAAGGATAACGACTTTCCTGACTTTTAACACTGTAGAGTAGTTCTGCCTTTTTGGTACTTATATAAATTGGATCATCTAGTTTGTAGTCTTTTGTGTCTGGCTTCTTTCATTCGATGTTATATTTGAGAGATCCATGGAGTTGTAAATCATTCCCTCAGAGCTGTAGTATAGAATTCCAGCATGTGAATAAACCAACTTTATCCATTCTACAGTTGGTAGGCATTTGGGTAGTTTTCTAATATTTTTGCTATTAGAAATAGTGCTGCCATGAACATTTTGGTGCATCTCTGTTGGTGAACATTAGGACATGTGTCTGTTGGGTATAGACTGTAGTGGAATTACTGGCTTTACAGGCTATGCATATGTTCAGCTTTAATAGATGCTGTCAGAGTTTTCCCAAGTGGTTGATTGAAATCATTTATATTCCCACCAAGCGGTATTGGAGGGTTCTAGTTGCTCCATATTCTCACCAACACTTGGTATTTTTCACATTAATTTTAATAACTTTTAATAATTTCTCTTTAAGCATTTAAAATGGTGAAACTTGCATAAAAAAAAGAATGTGTAAAGTGTTATCTACCAGGGAAATTCGTTAGAGACTCAGTGAGCAGGATTTGAGGCTGGTTATATGGGCCTCCTCTGTTTAGTACATTTCAAAATTCCAGACTCCACGAGGAAAGCAGGTGTTCAGCGTAAACCCCAGTGTACAAACAGTAGGCACAGTGAGCCACATGTGGTTCTGGGGTTAGTGGGAACCCTCCTGAAATCCAGGTTTCTAAACACCAGATAAGGACCAAGCAGGCCTATCTGCAAGCAGGCCTATCTAAGGGTAGCAGTCTCAGACCTGCCGTGTAACTCTTTTCTGGACATACGCATAGCCACAATAAGAAATAGGGGACTTCAGGGCTGGCCTGGTGGCATAGTGGTTGGGTTCGCATGCTCCGCTTCAGCAGCCCGGGGTTCTCAGGTTCAGATCCCAGGTGCGGACCTGTGCACCAGACTCAAGCCATGCCGTGGTGGCATCCCACATACAAAATAGAGGAAGATTGGCATGGATGTTAGCTCAGGCCCAATCTTCCTCAAGCAAAAACAGGAAGATTGGCAACAGATGTTAGCCCAGGACCAATCTTCCTCACCAAAAAAAAAAGAAATAGGGGACTTCAAAGCTGCTGGTGGGGCCGGCCTGGTGGCTTAGCAGTTAAGTGCGCACGCTCCGCTATCGGCGGCCCGGGTTCGGATCCCGGACGCACACCAACGCACCGCTTGTCCAGCCATGCTGAGGCGGCATCCCACATACAGCAACTAGAAGGACGTGCAACTATGACATACAACTATCTGCTGGAGCTTTGGGGAGAAAAAGGGAAACAAAGGAGGAGGATTGGCAATAGATGTTAGCTCGGGGCTGGTCTTCCTCAGCAAAAAAAAATAAAAATAAAAAAAGAAGAGGATTGGCATGGATGTTAGCTCAGGGCTGATCTTCCTTAAAAAAAAAAGCTGCTAGTGATATTTTGTGCTTATCCCCAATCACATTTCTCTGCCTATCTCATAGATGTAACCATTATCCTCACTGTGTTATGTCCTTGATTTTCTTATATAGTTTTATATATAGTTTTATATATAGTTTTATCACCTCTACATGTAACCCTAAGATATTGTATAGCTTTAAAAAACTCACCTGCAGGCACAAACCTAGCTGTGTAAAGATCTGGCAGTATTGCCCCTATTAGCTGAATGCTTTAATGAGAAGATAAGCTGAATGATACCTCTGAGACATGGTCTGGCTTTGGCTTTCCTGAGAGTTTACAGGAGCCTTTTCTCGGAAAATAGTGAGTGTGGTCACGATTGACTTCTGGGAAATAAGAGGATTCCCATGGTCAGGGCATCTGGAAGCATTCTAGTGTGGATCAAATCTGACTATCCTACAGTACTATGTCAGGGAGTAGCCTGCTTCTAAGTATCCTGTAACCAGGTCTAAGGAGTAGGTCGAAGTAGAACACTTCTACGGGGTGGAACGCCTGTCCTCAGCCAGTCTTGGCATCAGGATAGAAAGGGAAGTAGGGACTTCATCAGCTTATGGTCAAGACAAAAACAGATAAAACTCCGGCCACACTCACCTGGGAATCCTATCCTTTGTTCAAAAAGAGGCTTCAGGGCCGGCTCCGTGGCTTAGCGGTTAAGTGCGCGCGCTCTGATGCTGGCGGCCCGGGTTCGGATCCCGGGCGCGCCCCAGGGCACTGCTTCTCCGTCCAACGCGAGGCCGAGTCCCACGTGTAGCAACTAGAAGGATGTGAACCTATGACATACGGCTATCTACTGGGGCTTTGGGGGGAAAAAAATGAATAAATAAAATCTTAAAAAAAAAAGAGGCTTCAGTGGCAGCAGGTGTCTTGGTGATGATAGCAATGGACATGTCTCTTTCATAGATCATATTGCTTCAATCTAGACTGGATGCCCTCAATATCTGGTACCTAGCTCTCAAATGGGGATCTTGATTCACCATCCTCTTGGGCTTTCCCTTCACCCCTCTCTTAGATTGGATTACCTGTTTCTTATGGTAAAAGGAGCACTGAACTAAGTCAGAAAATCTGGCTTTGAGTCTTGAGCCAAGACTTAGCAGGTTTGTGACCTTGAGCAAATCCCTGAACTTCTCTGACCTTCCTTCCCATTTTCTCAAAGAAAGGAAGACAGCATTCCATCTGTTTCATCTAGTTGTTAGGATCAACTTAGATAATCTATGAAAATGGCTTTGTAATCCTAAAATCTATAAAATATTTTTCCATTAAAATAAAAATTGACTTAAAAGTAAGAAGGGGGGAAAAATAAGAGAGAGAAGGAAGAAAACATCAGAATGCATTGCTCTTGGGCCGGCCCCGTGGCTTAGCGGTTAAGTGCACCTGCTCCGCTACTGGCGGCCTGGGTTCAGATCCCAGGCGCGCACCGATGCACCGCTTCTCTGGCCATGCTGAGGCCGCGTTGCACATACAGCAACTAGAAGCATGTGCAACTATGACATACAACTATCTACTGGGGCTTTGGGGGGAAAAAAGGAGGAGGATTGGCAATAGATGTTAGCTCAGAGCCGGTCTTCCTCAGCAAAAAGAGGAGGATTAGCATGGATGTTAGCTCAGGGC